CGTCAATTTGTGATTCCCAAACATTCTTTGAATTTATATACAAAATAAATACGTTTTCATTAAATTTATGTAAAACGCTAACATAACTTTAAAAATAACAAAAACCCGTGCATTTGCACAGGTTAAAACTAGTATTTTCAAATGAGTCTTACAAAATGTCAAGGATATAGTTTCATATCGTATGACACCAAATTAAATTTTTGATGGGGATTAAAATCAATTTTTTAGTAAATTTTGATAAAAGTTGATGAAATATATAGTTAAAAAAGTTGTGGGTCCTATAAAATGTATTATTAAAATTAGTTAACTTTGATTTAAATTAAAATCTGGATTTTAATTTGTCCAAACAGGGACTTGATATGTGCATAAGAAAATGTTATTTATGTTGATAATTATAAACTCTAATTTTATTCCACCGAAAACAATCAATTTGAAGAAAGAAAATAACTCAAGAAAATGCAATACTTATAGAGATTCGTCTCAGTGTGGGAATATACCATCTTCTACAAAAGAAAATCGGATTCCTATCTTCTCTATCATCTCTTTCTCTTTTTGATGATAAATATAAGGCCTAATATTCACGGCTCCATATCTATAAGATAAATTGAAGCAAAATCGAATTTTAAAAGGATTTCAAATTTTTAATAGAATTTTACAAGAAAGCAAATTTCTAAACAGTTGTCAGATTAAATTTTGATTTACGGGCTCCACAACTTAACAATATTTCACCGACAAATAATATATTGTACTCACAATGTGAAAATATTAACACAAGAACCATGAATATGACATTAATATGATACTGCCCGGTCAAGCCGAAATGCATGTTGATCATTCAAACGACTACTCAAATCAAATGAAAAAAGTGTTGAGCTCCAATCAACATTGTTAAGAGGATTAACTAAAAGCTTGTACGTTGATTAATTTTATTTTTTTTTTTAATGTTTTTTTCCATTTACGAATGTATATGATTTACCCTTCTACTTCGAAAAGCTTGGATGCCCCTTGGGACCAAATCCAAATGCTCAAAGTCACTTCTTTTTCCTACTTGGGACGAAACAATTTTTTGTTTCCATTCATACTAAATTTGTGAAAGTGTCGTGGTGGAGATGACGTCTCACCACGTGATAAGGGACCTGAATCTTTTAATCCATTTCACGCTCTTCATTTTTTACATCTTTTCTCTCTCCGAGTTTGCCCAGTGATATGATTTTTCAAGTTCTTCGCAATAAATGTTCTTTTGAGGGAGTAAATGGTGTGCGTGTTTTGTTATTCTTGAAACAATTTATCCATGCTCTTGAAGATTCAAACATAATTTCAACTCCAAACCGACAACAA